GGCTAATTTATCCATTGTTGGATGGATGTCCACAGAGTAGATTGCACCACCTGTAACAATTCAACATTAAAACTGCCGGTATGCGAAACTGATATGACTGTCAAAAGGAAACGGAAGATGTCTCAGAGTAAAAGTCTCACCTTCATGATGAACCCACGTCGGATTAGTGAGATGCATATCGTGAGCAACGCACTACGAAAAATCTAATCCGCAAATCCAAGTCGTCTTGTTCAGAGATAAACCTTGGGAAGAAAAATTCAAGCAAATTTCGTTACAGCTTTATAGCCATTGAGGCATCTTTCGGTGTTCTACACAGCAGCTTGGCATCCCCTTGAGCTCAATTTCTAAGGCCGATGTCAGACTTTGCGAATCGCGCGATTCGCTAGCGTCTGCGGTCGCGTCGCGGCCAGTGAATCACTCAATTGGCTGGTACCGCAACGCGACCGCGGACGCTAGCGAATCGCGCGAATCGCTAGTAGCGAATCGCGCGAATCGCTAGTAGCGAATCGCGCGAATCGCTAGTAGCGAATCGCGCGAATCGCTAGTAGCGAATCGCGCGATTCGCAAAGTCTGACATCGGCCTAAATAAGCACAGCCATTCCCCTCTAGAAGGACCTTTCGACAATAACCCACGATTGCTGGACCCACCTACAAAGCTTTATGATAGAGAATACACAACTATAAAAGGGGTACTTCGTGAAAAAACCCAGCGTTTTCAAGTTCTACCCAACTCGCAATTGAGTCACAACCAGTCACCCCAACCCACCTCTCACAATTACACTACCCCAATCTTCGAAACGCTCAATAAATACTACATCAGATACATAATGACAAATACACATCACACACAAATCCAGATTGCCCTTCATCTTTATGGACAAAATTATTGACAAGAAAAAAAAAACAGAAAAAAAAACGAAAAGAGGAATAGTTTCATAAACTCTTATACATTCTGAGGTAAGGATCACTGGTATACAAAAAAAAACGATTTTTGTAGTTCGATGAGAAGTTTGGGTTGTACTAAATTCGGACGCAGCCACTGCTGTAGACCTCAGGCGCGGCACGTTTGGCGGTCACCCCTGATTGGTGGGCACTGGCCAGCAACCAATCACAGGTGTCGCACGCACGAGCGCATCGCGCAAGCCATCTGAGCGTCATAAGAGGCACTGCGACCGAATTCACAATATTTCTTCAGAGAAATCAAGACATTTCTAAGAGAAATCTAACAATAGCTCCAATTTTGAAAAATCTTCGAAAAACAAAACTTTGAAAAAAATTCAAAAATAGGGGAACGCAAGGGAGACACACTTACGATCACGCAACCGCTTCGCAAAGGCTGCATGGGATTCGGTCATCTTCAGATCGGAAAAGTCACTTTAAAAAAGCAATACAAATACACACATCACAATGGATCTCAAAATGACGGTAGTGAAATCGCATATCAAGAGGTTTCAATGCACCTAGGCAACATCATGAAGAGAAACCTTATCTGAGGATATTATCGTCAATCATAAATCACCTTACTTATGCCAGTTAAAACCAAATAAAAAAAACACCGCCTAAATATTTACATTTTTTGTGAAAATATTATTTTTGTATTATTTTTCTATCACCCTGCGAACACTACAGAATTGTACCACTAATATGGGTCAATGACAAGGCCGTTCAAAGAGCAGTAAAGCACATAATGCACAAATTTAACACATGTAGGTATTACACGGAACCAACGGGATATATATCACACCAGGAAAACTGTCAAAGCTCAGAATCGTTACCGTATATGTTATTTCGTCGAAGGAGTCATTTTAGTAGGAAAAAAGGTGGAAAAGTCAGGCTGTAAGTACCAAGTAAGCAATACCCATTCATCAGCGCGATTTAAAAAAAAACGAGATGATAGGGCAAAATTTGCGAGAACTCCGAGAGTCAAAAATTGAAATGAGAAAACCACCTGTAAAAAAACCTGTAACTAAAAAATGTAGCGAATGCCAAACATCAATCTGACTCCGCAAATAATATTGCAACGGAAGCCCAACGAAACGCACATTTTTTGCATTTCGTTCCATTTGACGAAATTGGAAGGCCAGACAGTCCGTTCAAACACTTCTAAAAACCATTCTAATGAATTTCACAGGACCTGCAGGAGTCAAAAAATCGAAGCTTCAAAACTCGCATTCAAATTTTTCAAAGCTCTGACGTACATATGTGAAATTTCAACCTGAAAAAGTCCAAAGTCCCAATTTACTGCGGTAAGGTACGCTAGGCAGCGCATCTCAGGTGAACATTACCATTACTCTTTGATTTGGCAGCTTTCCAAGAGCTTTCTAAGGTGATATCCCAAGTCTGAAACCCTGCAATCGTTTCCAATTTTAGCCATCTTGTTACGGTAACGATTCCGACTTCTTGTTTGGATAATACAATACTTACACCGTGTCTTCTGACACACTCATATGACTTCCCAGAAGTTATGAAAAAAAGCGACGAGAAATCCCGTGAAAGCCAATAAAAACAGCAAGCAATTAAAAAAATGCACGATCGTGTCGGTAAAAAAAGACTGATAAAGAATACAAAAACGAAAAAAGAAACTTATCGCACCCTCCTTCAAAAATTAAAGCGTAGGTCTTCACTCAATATACAGACAGAATATTGACTTTGAAAAGCTTAGAAAACAAGATTTTTTCGTTACTTTTATACTCTCCTTTTGAAATTGTTCTGACACAAAATTCTGTCCGGTGAGAAGAAGACCCACACTACGACAATTGAAGGTGGAAAAATTACTGGAGAAATTTGGTTGTTCTACTGTATATGGGATTATGATACCTGTGGTAATGCTTATACAATAACACTCGCCCCTTAAAGGATTCAACAAATCCTTTGGAACTCGTCTCCATCCCTTGCAGAAAACTGGAGGCAATTTTGATGGCATCGCTATTGGAAGGTCGAATCTACGAAGCGCTCGTGTTCGTGCTACAGCTCATTGTCCGATCCCGACCGTGAAATTGACGTACCGGAGGCTGTTGTACCGGTACACATGCATGAAGAAGATGCACCTGCAATTATGTGTATTTGTCACGTTGGAGACCGCGCATGTTTCACGTTTTGCGGCCGCGTGGGACTTCAGTGAAATTTTAGGAATCTTATCAAGCAAATTGGAAAGAAACCTACTGTATGATGCAGAAGAAACCTTATCGAATGAAATGGAAAAAAAACAGAAGAAAAGGTTAATATTCGTTTCAAAACGATGAAGATATTCCCGAAGGTGTGAGCTGTGCCGCTTTCGCGACTTGAAAGCACTAAAGGACGCTAGGTTTTGCCGTTGGTGCCTTCATTGCTCCTTACGATGTATTCGATCTACCCACCTTGCTGCCTGCGTCTCACCCACCCCTATGTTCTCCTCTTTTGTTCTCTCGCCTTGGCGCGTACTCCCTCTGATATTGTCTGTTTCAAAAACCTTCCACCACCAGAAAGACCAGGTCCCCATTCTGACTGATTTCTTGTTTCTCCTTCAGGGTAATCCACTTCGCCCGTCCACTTTCATTTTCGACCGCTATAACCACATTTAAGAAAACGTGGCCTATGCCTATGAGTAAAATTCAGGAAGTTCAGCAGCAACTCACGCCATATTCTCGGAGCAAATCGTCCGACATCCGAATGGTGTCGAATGGTCCTCTTCGAAAGCCCTTCGTAGAAAGAAAGTCAGCACGCAGATTTTTATCCATGAACACAGCTCGAGAATGCCTCATGCATGTGCGAATGTAGCGGAACACTGAAACACTAGAAATCCAGATCTGACATCACAATTCAAAGTTACGTAAAATTGATCAGTTTACTTTTAAAGATGCGTCAAATATTCTGATACTGTTCGAAATTTTCGCACGGCAGCTACCACAAAAAAAAGATTGTTATCTTTAATTCTATTTACCACTGTTCTGAAAAAGTTATCAGTAAACTTTCCCGAGCAGAGAAACTATCAAGTGCTTGGGTAATAATAATATTACTGCTGAGTTATTGGTTGTTAAAAAGTAAACAACAAGAACTTGAGGAGATGCACATGTAATGGTGGTCCACAGGTGGTCAAACAGAATGTAATATAATATGTAGTATATAATATTAATATATGTGATATAGCACGATATTACGCAATATGCACTGCTACTCGTCAGCCGACACCTCTGCGTCTCTGCCTTCTTGTCGCGTGAAGGGTCTCCTGTCGGGTACCCCAAACTCCACCATCTATTCTTTTTTAAATATTGCTCATTTTCATCTCTATCTAATGCACAGCAGAAGGCAATAGCGAAGAAATGTTGAAAGTATTATGATCATTCATCCCAGTAATGTCGTACTCCCATTTTAGTCCATTCTCCTGATGGTTTATTGGTCCCAAAAAAACCAAACATATTCATACCATTGGAGTGCTCAATCAAGCTTCAACCCACATACAGTACATCCTCTGTGATCGCCCTACTTTCCTTAGCTCGCACTCTGGCCACTTCAACAGAGTTCATCACCAGGGTGAGGCAACGACGAGGCCTTAGGCTGATATGACCCCCATGCGGGGTCCTCCGCCTCCAGATCCTGCTCCTATCTTACTTGACACCATACCTGACTCCTAGGGGTGTCCCTCCCTAAGCGAAGCTGGGACGGGTAGAGTATATGTTTACTGCATTTAGAGCTGAGAAAAAATTGGAGCGATGATATTAGCAAATTTAATTTGAAGTAAATTTGCATAAAACTCGTAGAAATATCTTATGAATTACAAAAAATCTAGAAAGCCCCTAATTGAGCCTCTCCCCTTTCCGACTGCGGAAAAAAACCCTCTTCAACTGCTCTCATTAGGATCCCTTCATTGGTGAGTCTAGCAACGCCACCCACCGCTTTTACGAGGAATGCTCTATCGGTTCACCTGTTTGCACTTCTCTCTTCGACGTCAGTTTACTACAGTTACACATGAATACATCACAACTACTGGCATATGTCTAGGTCCAGGATGAACGAAAAACAAAAGCAGCTTTCATTTCCGCAAACTTCGAGAGAACCCCTCTTCCTACAAATCCATTCGAAAGTTAGTCTGTTTCGGGTTTGTTTGGGAGATGGCGGAATATTTCATGACTGTTCTGGAAGTGTAAAGGTTGTGAAGCTTTGAATACTTTACTTACTGTCATCATCGACTCCTTGTGCAAGATTGTGATCAAGTTCGAAAGGATCTCGGATCACCATCGGACATCGATACCATCTGCCAACCTTTGAGACTTGGCCAGGTGTGTTAATTTGGATGATCTGGAAAAATATAAACATTGCCAAAATCAAAGTAAACAACTGATCATTAAACAGAAGACAGACGACTCACATGGACAACGTTACATGAGCGTCGTACTGGAAGTGATTGGAGAAGTAATCCAAAACCTGAAACGAACTCTACGACGTAATTTCCCACGTTGTGACGATGCCGACCTGCAGATATCAGCATACTTGGTATCCCGACAGGAGCCCTCCCGTCTGCGCGCCGAGAAGGGTGTGATGAACGCCGAACGAGTCAAGCTGAACGGACGCCAAGGCCGTACACGTAGTGATTTCGCATCAATTGTAAAATGGAATGTACTAAATAGCGTTTTTACAATCTCATAGCACGCGCGCTACGACCTACATTTGCTGACCATTGACCCGTCTGCGTCTCTGCCTTTCCGCCAACCACGGATCACCATTCGACCAGAGCATACTTCACGTTCAAAAAGATGACACAAAAAAGGAAATCAAATAAGTCAACTATGGGACACCTTATAGCATTTATTAAAGAGTAAGCTGAAATCAAAGGAAACCTCACATCCACAAATTTCCAGAAATCCACGTTCCATCCGTTCACATACTGGCCATCTGTAGGATTTTGCACTCCCTGAATTTATACAGACAATGAGCGCCAAATTTTTGTGGCGGCACCCGGTACATCCGGATGAGTGCGAATAGTTTTCCATGGAAATAAACCGGATAATGCCTAGTCCTATCTCACTAAACGAGCTGTTGTTCCAGCGACACTTCGAACACCTTCTCTCTACTCAAAATTAGATCGGCCTTTGACTTTTTCACAGAAATACAAAACTCACAAACTGTAAGTACGGTAACATCCTGATGGGCTCAGTTCTTTGCAGATAATGTATCAACATCAGAATCCACGCGTACGATGAGAGCGACCCTTTGGATGCGTCACCAACACCACAGCGTTTCGCCCACTGAAATAGCCACCATCATACACCTAGAAACGTCGAGAAATAGCACGGATACTGTAACCAACCGTCTTCACCCATACTCCTAGTGTGGGCAGACGATCCTCGTCCCACTTACAGTACTGCGCAGAATGGGCTATTGGTGTGCAAGGCCAAATCATTACGATAGCTGATGCTGAAAAAATCCTTGCTTGCTGTGAATTTGGAAATCAAAGGTTCTTTATGGCTACAGAAACCACAAAGAAAACCACAAGTTTTCCCTACAGGAACTTGAACACGCAACTATTTAGACGAAAGCGTGTAAGTATAGCTGATTTCTGATCGGCCTTGGGTTTCTTCAGAATATCACGAAATAATCGACCTCCTAGAAAATGAAGGCTCTAGCATGGACGAGCTCCTATCAAGAAGAAGAGCGCGCATACGATGCGACGCTACAAAGTTTACACTTCAACTGCCTTCACGTAAGAAGCGGGGCAGAGAGGGGGGATGGGGGGAGAGGATCCTGAGGTTGAAACGGTGAAGCGCAGTAGAAGTCAATTATCGCGCTGTAAGTGGCAATGGACGTATAGATCGAGGAGGTAAAGTCACCAAACGAATTGGACAAGTTTTAGGGACCGTACGCAAGGCCCGTCTTACCAAACAGCACCCCTCTCCTCCAAAAATAAAAGTTCGACTCTAGTTGCAATAGATGAATAAATAGATCATGGATAAAGGTCCAGAGCTTTGATTTCATGTCACCAGGTATTCTAGGAGGGAGCCAATCGCACTCCGAGCCGTCTAAGGTTGACTTGATGGAGGAAGTTTCGGTGAACCTGCATCGCTTTTCCCCTGCTGGATCTTCAAGAATCCCATCCAGCTACTGGAGACCACCTATCGAATATCTGGATTTGTGAGGGAAGAGAGGAAAAGGCGAGGTAACAAAGCCTTCTTTCTGACCAGAGTGATGGGACACGCATCGAAAATTCGCTGCTGCATGTACGTGACGAGAACCTCTTACTCGCATTCGCATACATCCGAATGAAGCGAAATACGCCAGTAAAAGCCCGCGAACGGTAACGAGAAATTTGGCGGTCTCACAACGACCAGGGTCATTCCAGGCCTACGGAATACAAAATATAAAAACAAGAGTTCAACTCACTCCGCTTCGATATCCATGTCCTTTCCGCGAAAACGAACGATTGGCACTTTTGCACAAATGTACTGTTCGTCACGTGCGTTTGGATAGTCTACTAGCGCCTTGGCCACCTCTCGCATTACCAAATCCGGACACACCACTCCGCCCATAACCACTTTTCCGTTCGGTGGACCAGCAGGGAACGACAAACTCATGTCGACATCGCAAGAACGAGTGCCAAAGCCATTCAACGTTGAGCCGTAGATCTACAAAATGAAGAAAAATTAACGCATCAGGGGCGTTGCAAACATAATGGTACAACAGAGAAAGCATGACAAAGTTATAAGCAAAAGTGAGGTCCCAATTCCAGAAACATCGTGGTCAAGCAGTAAAAAAGGAGATCGATGAAAGATTGTACAAAAGTCAAGTGAAACTGCTTCAAAACGTCCCAACATCAAGACGTTACCGCTGGCATTATCTCGAGTTCCAAATAATTTGGATAGGTAGAACTCAAGGTTCTACTTTGAAATGTAACCACAAAATGCAAAACTGGTGATCGTAGAAAGAGTTGTCCCTGAATTTTAAAAAATAAAGAAATCTTTCAATTTAGCAGGTCCCAATTTCTTATCCTTCTCTCTTTCTTATTATTAGGCAAAAATTAATACGCACAGTTTGGACTGCAGCAGATACAAAAACTACAATTATGAAAACTGGTTTGCTGTGTTTTATGGTGTTTCCCTAATAGAAGCCACCAAATAAGGCGGAGGTGAGTCTTCGCGGTTGGATCAGTCCAGCTCCCAAGTCAATCAATGCGTCGGGAGAAATTCGGAGCCCACTTCTCCTGGAGAGGTCGTGATCTTAGCAAGCATTAATCAGGTGCACTACCTCCAAACTTCCTCGACGTCCCCAGCGTTGGAAGGTGTAGTGATAGGGTAGGGAGGAGGAGGGGTAGGGAGGAACGGTGCTTTCCACATAAACATACGCAAAATGCTATAGTGAATAATGTTTGGCCAAATACAAACTTATCAAAAACTATGTCTCTCAACTCCGCTGTAGAAATTATTTAGCGGATGGATGACCCTGTCCCGCTCTCATTTACAGTATAGACTCGGCAAGGCTTCGGCAGTTCGTCACAACCAGCGCCATTTATGGTGCTAGGCGCGCGTCCAATGTTGTGTACGTATCCCGCGCGGTAATTACGCTTCCCACGTAAAGCAACGATCACAGCGAGTCCTGGTTCACTCGACTGGCTCGTGTCCTTTTCCGGACGCCACGTTGATAGCGACACATGAAACGGCTGCAAAATCCGAAGAATTGATGATTTCGTTGACAGGCACGCTCCTCGAACGGTTCTGACGCCATTCGTAAAAAAATGAGAAAAAAAAATCAAATTCTAGTGTGTTATACAATGAAAGAGCCAAAGAAAGGCCTAAATAAGTACGGGCTAAATATTTTGAGTACGACCACTACTTCACATTTTTACCAGCCCTGCTTCGAAGTGAAAGAGAGTTAGAAGTTGCAAATTGCTTGTAATAATAACTGCAGGTGGTACTGTGATGGTTCCTTGTTTGAATATAATAGCAATCAGATAACTAAAGGGTAAAAAACAGTCGGAGACAAACCTCTGTGTAACTTCATCGCTCTACTTATCTCGATCACTCCTATCTTGTTCTTATAGATGTAAGGGCTGAACGCGTCAAACATGCTTCTGAAATGTCACCGTTGGTTGTTAACTGTAGTTTTTGGCCGACGTTCGCTTATGCAAACGTTATCGAAGAGGCTGGTTTACGGGCGAAACATCTTTAAGCAGAATTAAAATTTCCCATTGCCTTGAGAAACAAGAGATACGACTCGTCGGTTAAAATACTCGTTTCCCGAAGTTCAGGCAGTTCCATTTGGCCCGGCCCGGCCGGAGAGCCGGCCTATAGTAGTGCTATGGGCACCATTGCCGACTGGTGCAGGTAAGGTACCTGGATTACACTCAAAGTCACCCAAGTTTTGAGAGGTCTTCCTTAGCTTCCTCGCTAGAGGGTCAGCAGTGCTAATTTTCCCTCGTGCTGCTATCTCTTTGAATGCAGGAAAGGGAATAGGTTGCAGTAGTCCTTTTATACTGGCCGTTTTTAATAGTTTCGTGATATTAGGCTACCGTCCTCATTGACTGACCAAGTGTTTTCTATTGTTAGTTTCTTTTTATAGGCGCGTCAACTGCACGCATGAATATAATAATAAATAAATAAATAAATAGAAGAACGGATCCGAATCCCGCTTGGGATCCGAGGAGTTTTCGCCCATAAGCTTCGCTTGTATAAATACCCTAGACATTAAAAATGCAAGAAAAGGAATTCAAGAAAATGAAACTCACGTAAGTCGAATGTACTGTAATGCTGACCCATTGAGATCGTTGCGCAGTGCAACAATGGTAGCCCTTAAATTTTATTGAAGAACAACGTAAACACGATTTAATTTATCATTCTAAAGCAGAATCACGAGGGTTAGAGGATGGTAACCAGTTTTCTGACGTCATTGGGTAATGGTGCATATATTCCGCCCAAGTTGCATTAGGGGATGTTATACGACTGCCGATTGGAGGTAATTGGTGGATTAGTCCCACAAGTGCGTTAGGGGGCATGGTTACGACGGCCTCTTAACTTCGCTCCGACCAATGACATTCACTGACGTCATCAAGAACGCAACGCTCTCCAGCCACCGTGATCACTGCCTTTCACCCCTGTCCATCGTTCGCTACACCACGTGCGTCACTTGAACACTCACAGCACACAGAGACTTCGCTTTTTTATTTCACACTATTGATGTCCCAGGTTTGCAGCTATTCGCCATTACATTAAAACTATTTATCTGTATTAGTAAACTCAATTAGGAATGAGTGAGAAGAAATAAAAAAGGGAGTGAAAATACGCTTGTAATGGTGGTTTGCAATGGAAATACTTACACCCAAGCACTTCTTTGGTTTTCGATGAAACAAGTGCACGGCGCATCCCACAGGGGTTAAGAATCTTTAGAACACTCTGGGTCTTCCCTCTTCGACAATGTTCTTGCTGAGCTTCTGAATCTATTTCCTTCGAATTGGTGTCCTTACAAGGTTTCAAGATCATTTCAATCAGCCTTTCCTACAATCACCTATTATTGAAAGCCTTTAGTTCGGTTCGAATAAATTGAGCATTTTATTTCATTCTTCAGTTCGAATCTAAGCGCTACCCCCTCTCTGTAATCACTTTGCGCTATTAACCAGCGGACACATGGAATTGAAAAAAGGACACCAAACTTGCACTTTCCGAACTATCAGCGATTTCTTCCCATGAGTCGTGTCAAATAAAGAGAATAGTATTTTTGATAGCGTCAAAAATACTATTGGTTCCACAATTAGACAAATGCAGAACGGCGAATTGGTTCGCAATGCTCTTCATAGAGATCTGAGATGGCTTGTGAAAAGCAGAGCATGCCGGAAAGATAGGAGGGGTCGCAAAATGGAACCTACGAGAGATGATCAGCTCTGGAAAATCTGGACCGTATTGTGCCTACGTGGAGCTTCGAAGGCACAATCCATGAACAAATTGAAGTGGTTCTTGCACACAAAAAGAGAGTATCAGTGCGGGAAGGGCTGGCAATGAAAAAAAGAAAGGAATCCGGCAAAACGCTAAACTCAAGGGCTTGCTTACTTTTTTGCTAAGGCATTGGAGAGATGGGGGAATAGGACTCTTAAGCACGGTGGAAAGAGGATGTGCAAGAGGGTAAAACGGATGAAAGGTATGATGCGCCATGAATTCGACATCTATTCAGATTTGTAAAAATACTTGAACGCGCCCTCTGCCAACACAATGACTTCAAAACTCGTTTAATGCTCGGAAAAGGTTCAGTGCTCCCAGAACCTCTGCTATCAAGCCTAATCTACCAGAATGGAAGGTTCAACAAGTCGAATTTGCTTGGACCCAGGGGTCACTGAAATGACGCTTCCTTGTAGTCATAACAACTCCGCAGTTGGCTCCCAAATATAGAAGAGACAAATGGAACAAGAATTGCTACTGACTGACGTCATCGGAATACGCCATGCAGTTAACTTGATTCAGAGCCGCAGAGACGCTGGATTGCATATGGGGCCCAGGATTTGCAGAAGAAAGGTGGCGATAATTACGGTAACGATTTCCTGATAAGAAGATAAGTGTAGTAGTGACCAGCCGAGAACATAACGATGCAAAGATTGCTTAAGCTACATGAATTCTTTCCCAATGGCCATCCCAGCCGAATGCTCTAGCTCTTGTCACTGGCTTGCTAAACGGAAAGAAAGAATACAACAATATCTTCTACTCAAGCCTCTTCTCAATCTCGCTTAGCATTTTGAAATGCAACTAACTGGTAGCTTATGAACTTTCAGGCTTAGAAAGCAGTAAAAAAGGCACTGATCATCACCTTCACCGCCCAAGCGTCAAAAACTGAGCCGGATTAAACGAAATTCGTGCATGACTAACGGTATGGTTAGAAAATTGTCTTGAGCGCTACATTACGTAGACACGACTATCGGGTTCTACAGGTCGAACTGCCTTCGTGGACAACATCCTGCCTGGCCGAATCCGTAGTTTTGGACAAGTTTTGATAGAAATCCGGCTCAGTTTTGGATCAGTAGTAGTATCAGGAGTGGGGCAGTAAAAAATACCATTAAATTTTCAATATCATTGAAAACCATAAAGAAGACATAGCTCACAGTATGAGCCAGCCATCCATGGCAAAATCGGTCGTATGCTGGCAATGACTTTCTCACCGCCACCAACACGAGTACATCGAGACGGTATGGTTGTAGAGTTGGCAGGACGTGATCGCGATGACTTCATTTCATTCTGGAATATAATTACTCAGGTGGACATCATATCGCTGAAATAATCACACCTAATTGAAAAATAAATAACGACGGGGAAAACCCCGCAGTCAAATTTGATATAGTACCAATTTGTATGTCGGAAAAGTGAATCGCATAAAAAAGTAATATTGACAGACCTAGACATGTGACGCCTTTCACGAAACCGAGCATTGGCCGTTAAAACGGCCACTTTGACCCTAAATTAGGAATGAAATAGAAAAATTAGAAATCAATCCATTGAAAAAGCGAAAAAAATACGCCAACTCCGAAAATTTTCGAGCTCAAAAGATCAGCGACGCATCAAAAAATGTAAAGAAATGGGTGACAAAAGTGTGTCCAGAAAAATAACTGAATAAATGGGTAGAAAACAGCCGCACAAAAAAGAGCAAAATTCAGAGGCAGACTCAAAAGAAACTTCCAGCGATTTGCGATAAGGAAACTGCTGACGACAACACAGTCAGTGGACTTCGGCGGCTGACCGCGTCATAATGGTGGGGCGATGAAAATCGCAATCATTTTACAATATACTAAGCCACAACGTATAGGTTATGCGTCAAGCACATTTCAGCGAGTAACTAAAAGTTCCCTGAAGAACATTTTGGTTAAAGATAGTCGAGCCACGAACACTGTTGGACGTGGAAGCATTGTCAGCAACGAACACTGTCGAGCTACCAAAACCGGTTTCGTGGCAGGTAACAGAAAACTACTTGGCAGTAAAATAACTGAATTGCTATACAAGCAGAGTATTCATCGATACATATGAGTTAGTAAAGTATTGAGGTGTATAACGAGGCAGAATAAATGAAAAATGGGGGGGCGAAATGGAGCCGCGCAACAAGTCAAGCATTTTGAGGAACGGCAAGAATGTTCGAAGAATGCCAGTCTGTACGACTTTTAATTATTTTTTCCTCTTCAAAACACTTGCAGACTAAATCGTTTCCAAAGACAGAGGAAGCCTATCTGAACCAACCGTAGAATTGCTCGCAAAATGTGCATTCCTTGGAACTACACTTCCATTCTTACGAACATTTGCTCTCAGTAACAGTCACTGCGCGAAAGAGCACCCCGTACCAGAAAGACAGTCAGGTACTCTTCAAAAAAGGCCTCTTGCAGACAGAAACTGTTCCATAGGCGTTCCACAAGAACTGATTGATCACTACTCAACCCATTGTGGGCAGCAGTTATTTGAGCACCTCTGCAGTTTTTGCCGTCTGTTTTATCAGTAGCTAATAATTCATCAAAGTTCTATCAGTGCAAAATATATGATGTTTCTTAAAAAAAGTTAATGACGACTTTGTAACTTAAGAAAATGCTAAACGTAGCAAAAAATATCCTTTCCCGTGCACACGCGCAAGGTTATTTCTCATCAGAATGGTAAAAGTGCCTTGAAAAAATCGCAGAAAAGGAACGAGGACAAGCAGATACGCACATCAATCCTACCATGGACATGATATTGTGGCGAGAATCTTGTTTCAACCTCGAAAAAGATCAAATAGCGAGCAGCGGTCAAAAAAAGTAGATAACAGTAAATGTAAAAAATTAGACAACAGTTTATAGATAAAAATTGATAACAGATGAATAATTTCGATAAATACAATTAAGAAAGAATGACAAATAGAAACAATGCCAAATAACCAAGAAATCAAAATAATTGACTACTTCGTAGTATCATGCCGCTAGTTTAGATCTATCAAAGGTGTGTAAGCAAAGAATGATAAAAGGATAAAGGATAAAGCATTTGCCGTTGATCAATCCCTTTTTGGATGCGGCACGCATTCTACTTCCATTTGTACATTCGCAGTGGCGTTTGAATGCGATGTGGCCTATACAATGACTTGCGGGGGCCAGCCGATGTACAAGTCAGTGTTTTTATCCTCCCAGACAAGTCTGGTACCAATTAACCGACCCCGGAGGGATGGAAGGCTTGGTTGGCCCGGGCGACTCACGACCCAGGATTTGATCCCCGGACCGCTCGCGTGGTGAGCGCGCCACTTGTCACTACACTTACTAAAAAAAACCTTTAGTGGGATAGTAAGCACTTCCCCCCGCGCCCCCCGAGAGAATAACTGGCTACATGCTCAATATAAGCTTGGTGGGCGCAGCAAAGTATGTATGCAAGAAGATTTACGAAGGAATTGTTGGCTTAGGACAAAGTAAGGAAAGGATGGGCACTCGAGAAGCAGCCGTTGAGATGGAATTGAAGTTCCGGCCATCTCGTCTACCTCAAAGCCTACACATGGTTCAAGGCTTGAGAGCTGCCCTTTGAACTCCCGTGCACCTCTTCATTCTAGTGCTTCAGGCAAGACGTTCGAGGAATCACAGAAAGCGCTGAATAGGGGAATTAAGCCTTTCCAATCAACCACCACAGGGACGCTACGTCAGCTACAATTACAGTCATATTAGACATACTCTGATGACGTTCTCCAGGAAAGTGTGATTACTTGAGGGACAAAGGATTTCGTCTCCCTCTAATTCACGAATCAGTTAGCTTGCTGTAGAGAGCTTGCTGTATTTGTGTCAACAAGTACTTGTAAAGAATAGGTTGTGCTATAAAAACTTCGAGAAGAAGGGCAGAAAGTCTTTTGAATGAGAGACATGCCAACGATTTCTGGAACGATTCATCTGTTAATGTCGAAATCTTGGTCATCGATAGGTATGCTAACAACGCTTAAGAAGAGGATAAGGTTGGTGGCAAGCGAACAGACCTTTCAACGGAGCCCAGCCCTATTTCAGAATGAAAAAGGACTGACGTTATGCTTGAGATGAAAAAGACCAAAAGGAGATGTAGATGAACAAGAGTATAACGCAGCGAGTGAGACGAGAACGAATAATTAAATTAAAACCTGGGAAGAGTTACAAACTGTGGGGGCAGCTCAAATGCACCACGGCCTGCGAATGACGGAGAGGTTTTATTTCCCAGCAAAGAACGCACTAGCACATATAGGCTTAGTTTTAATGCGCCTACATATTGATTATTAAAAAGTCACTTCATGAGCGTGATGGACGCCTTATGAATTTCTTCATCATGACCACAAATGATGTTATGAACTACCTTGCTCAACAATCTTCAAACTCCCTCCAGAGAACTTCGACGTCGATTATGATTTTATGGTTTTCTTCTGCCATCGAGTTCACCCAAAAACCTCACACAGGAGAAGAAAAATTAAAACACGTGAACTACAAGACACTGCTTATTAATATAATATTTTCCGTGAGGACTCTGATACCACTTCCGAGTATTTTAACCCATTCGCGACCGCGCGGGATTGCGCAATAGCAGGAGAGTCAGGAGATTTTTCTTCAATAAAATTTGAGTGGATGGAGATTTCCCCTGCCCAGGGCTGGCGTAGATGAATGAGGGTATGAAGATTCTTTTCCATGGAAGAAAACTTTCCAAATTCCATTTGAAACAGGAGCCGATGCCATTGTCCCGAGTGAGATCTTTGGCAGCCACCGGTGACTGCCATTGTCACGAATGGGCTAAATATGGGAAAATGAAGGTTACAATCGCGCCATTAACACGTACATGTAACTCCTACATACCTAATGAGAGTCACATTTGTAGGTGAAGTCTACGTTGAGAGAACCGTGGAGATGACACGGTAAAAAGCGACTGCATTAATCGCACACAGGAGGTGGTAGCTGTCACAATATTATAGCTGTCACAATATTGGTCTACCTAATCTATTTTCTCCTCCTTTGCGCTCAATATTGACTCGAAGAGAACAAAAATGTCAGTAAACAAATAATACCAGTCCAGTTGAGAAAATTCCACAAAGAAATGGAACGGTGATAAAGTATCTGTGCACCTTGAATATTTTGAAGTGCTTATGGTAGTCGCTTCCTAAACATGCAAGCCTTCAAATGCGTATCTATTTTTCTACATAACACAGTAGTTGTGAAGATGAGGACACTGAACACATCTGCTGGCTATTGGAAGTGATTTCATAGACCATGCAAGCACTGACAGGACTTGACGATAACGAATGGAAACGATTGCACGGCTCATATCAAAGAAAAAAGCATCAAAAGAGGATTTCACGATATGATTGAAGTCTAAAAAAGCAATATACCTAGTCGAAGGCAGGCAAGGCCCTTTAAGAGTACAGGACGATGGGCACTTCGCAGCTAAAAACTGCGCCGGGCGGCCTAGCAGAGCCATTCCTGCGCCGCGGCACGCCCACTCTCTCGCCGTCTGACTCTAGCCCTTTAGCAGAGATAGCGTTGGCATTGGAATGGACAACACTAATAATGAAAGCGTTGGCGTTAAAATGGACAACACTAATATGAATCGCATCAATGCGAAAACCAATAAGCAAAGGTCCCATTTTTGGGTTCTGGGCCGTTTACCATAATTTTTCTTCATCCCTGCACTGCTGACCATCTTTAGCTTGATTTCTAATGGGCCCCATTCTCATCATTAACTCTGCCTTCTAGCGATTTGGTACCTTCATTCTGAAGCTAAATGAAAACTGATTCAAAAAAGATGTAATAATATTCTAATCAGCGCTCTGCACCCTCTGACACCATTTCAAGAATTCGATGACGTCGAACTCTCTGTCTTTGGGTTTTTGTCCGCAATATAGAATGCAAAGAGAGAAGTGATAGGAAAGAAGTAGGAGGAATAGGAAGGTGCAAAAAGTGAAGAGTTATTACAAGAATGCTGAGTTGTGGACAAAACGTTTCGCTACAGCCGGGATTCGTACCCGGATCTCTTGCTTTCCGGGCAATTGTGCTACCAGTTACACCACCGGACCATTTCACCCTAACTCACCTTCTAGAAGAAAAGGTGTTAATAGAAGAGTAGTGATCGTTTAGATTCCCTCAAGCAACTTACCTAGTGAAACCTTGTAACGCCTGGTTCGCCTGAACCAATGGACTTTCGCTCTACTTTCTTTTTTTGACAGATTTGAAGGCAGAACAGACCTCATTAGCTCGTCAATTCTCCTACTTTTCAGATATCTAATTCAGGAG